CCTACTACTTGCTACCAGCAGCCTCTTTGTCCTGATGATCTAACCATTACATAAATAACTTAAAATACTGTATGTTTAACTTCCTTCCAAAAGCATAACACAGGATGGGTAGTGCAGGCTCTCTCAAAGAGCTTTACAAGCACAAAATGAGGACAGTTTTACAGACCCTATTCTTGTGCTGGATGACTTGCTGCTGCTGTTGCTGCAAGACAAGGGTCTTTTATTGAAATCCTAGCAGAAAAGTAAACATTTGAAATAAAGCTAAACAAGAGGTTAGTTGTTGAGAAAGAGACAGTCATCTGTCAGCATTTGGCAAACAAGCTCTTAAAAGTGGCCTTCTGCAACGCTTGACTGGGACTCCAGCACTCAGATTAAATTATCACAGTCTGAATGCCTTTTACCTAATGAAAAGACTCCCTGCAGCATCTTCTGCTGTATGAAACTTGCTGCAGTGTTGCCTCCTGGAAGACTTATTCATTCTGATTATTCATTTGCCAGTGAAACTCAGGAAGAAAAACGGCCTCCAAGCCTCAGGAGCATCAAAACAGGCTACTGAATATTTCCCAAGAGAAACCTCCAAGTGAGCTCATCACCACCTTTTAAAAGTTGACCGCAAGGGGTGCCCACCTTCCTCCTGTCCATTCAGAAACTTCCCATCTGTGCTACTGCCTGATCAAGCTGATGCTTCAGATGACACTTGGAAACATATAGAAAAAAATGGTAATTTTTGGTAATTACTCTTATTTCAAAGAGTAATCATCAGGAATTTGACTGGCAGCCAGTTATCAGTGGAGCTCCTCAGGATTAGAGGCCGGGACTAATGGTGTTTAGTGTCCTCAATAATGGTCTAGATAACAGGATGATTCCATCAAAGGCCAAGTTCAAAGTTCAGCAAAGGCCAACACAAACTCCTGCATCTGAAACCATGATCCCCACATGTGCTGAGGATTAGGAGGCAAGTTTGCAGAGAAGGAGCTGCAGGACCAGGTGAACAGCAAGCTGAACCCGTGGCACCCAACGGCACCAAAGGTGCCCATCCTCTGATTACATTGAATTTGCAGGAGTTCCGCTAGCAGGTCAAGAGATGTGGCTATTCTGCATTCCCCTTTGAAAGCTGCATTGGGAGTTTTGTGGCCCAGAAGGACACAAATATTTTGTAGTGAGTCCAGTAGAGGCCACCAAGATGGCCTGGGACTGGAACAAAGAACATACAAGGACAGATTGGAGAGCTGTGTTTGTTCAGCCTGGAAATGAGAAAGCAGAGTATAAAGGAGACCTAATTGCTTTCTCCAATTACCTCATGGGTGGCTGTGGAGAAGAAAAAAGCATTTGGCCCTGCTTTGAGCCGGCATTGCCCTAGATGACCTGCAATTTTTCCTTCCAAAAAGGAAAGGAAGGAATTAATTATTCCATGATTCTATGAAATCATTCCAAAGAGTATTGTTTCCAGAATACAACATACAAAGTAATTGACTCCTGGAGAATGTGCAAAGCCCAGTTTCACCAATAATTCCCCCCAAAAAGTCACAGGACTTCTTCTCATCTACCAAGTCCTTTCCTTGCCTCTGGATGGCTTGCCAATCCCAACACCTTCCTCATATGCAGCAAGTACACGACTCTTATCTGTAATTATTCTTGAGGGTGTTCAGATATTTCAAAAGTTTAGTGTACCCTATGTCCTTAATAAAAGCAAAAAGCCAAAATAATCCCAACCCTTCTTGAAATCAAGCAAAACCTAAAGCAGATGGGTAGACAATGGTTGCAAAACAAACAAATAGTCCATGGCTCAGCTAAACTTCAAGTAAGTTCAGCACTAAAAATCTGCATAAACAAATCTTGTGTGTTACCTTTGGCAATCTACATGACCTCGGCTTTACTATATCATTTCTGATCTTTGCAATCTGCTAATCAAAAATGACTATTCAGGTTCTTATCAAAACAAGCCTCCAAATTACTTCAGTTATAAACCATGGCTGAGACTAAAATGTCAAGTGCTCACATATTTGAAAAAGTGCATTTTCTGCATACCTTACTTGAGTTCCCTTGTGCCCGTAGATAAGCCAGACTGCAGCGTAATGCAAAGTGTAAGAAAACTAACACATGGGAAGTGACCTGCCCTCTCCATTTTCCATTCTGCTTTATCAGAATGACACATTTTGACCTATACAAGAGTAAGACAAAATCCAGTGTGCTCAGGAAACAGCGAGACCAAAGGACACTCCACAGACATTTCATAATGATTGAGATGCTTTTTCTTCACAAAGTATTGTGTTCATTTAATCCCATTTCTCACGTTCTCTCATATTTACCAGCAACGTAACAGTTGACCCTGGCAGATGTACAAGAAACCAACTTTCTCCCCTCTATGCCACAGTCCGTTGAAGCTAGCTTGAAGCCAGGTATACCATTTCTCAAACATGTATCTTCTCGTTATGATATTTTATGGTATTTTGGTACCAGCCTCTAGCAAACAGTTTAAGTTTCAGCATATTAATCATAAACTCCTCCACATCCTGTCAGCACTGACCTTGGCATGCAACTATTTTGTCTCAGAGACCCCTCAAAACATGTCTACAAAAATTCCCTTAGTCTCCCAAACTCAGGAGGCAGACAGGGTTGTGGTGAGGTGGACTGAGACCGTTTCCTCTGAAGATAGCTGGGCACAGAGATCTTGTAAGTGTTAGTATTTCTACAGGTAAGATAGTATGAGAACAAAGCCTAAGCCATGCAACACCAATAACACTGAAGATGTAAGGATAGACAGAGCTGCCGTAAACTTTTTCTGGTCTTTGCTATGGCTGTAATGGAAAATGGTAGGAAACATTTCTCCTTTCTCTCTGGAGATTAGAATGGGTTTTCATGAAAAACAAGCCTGACAGTTTCCTGATCCCTTCTGGGTTTCTCCAGACAGCTGTGAATACTCAGTTTATAAGAGGAATGAGAAACATACCAAGAGCAACACACATGTGCTACCCCCTACTGTTACCTCAGAGTGCCCAAGCCTGGGGAACTGCCAATTCAAGACCCATCTGCCTCTCAACATTGGCCCAATGCTCCTTACTCAAGTTATATTTGCTGCTGCAGAACACCTCTAGACTCTCTAGAGTGTCTAGATTCTCTAGACCATTGCCTGTAATCATATACATTGCACAAACCCACATAGAGTTCCTATAATCTTAAGAAGACTTTCACCTCTTTGATTATGAGTTTATCAGTAGCACAGTAAAAGGCTGCAGACACAAGCTCAATTTAATCTTAACCATTTTGATTACACATACATAACCAGCAAGTGCCCTTTATTTTCTATCCAAATATTTATTGAGATAAACTGCTTTAGCTGTTCCAGGAGATAGTCCTTCTTGGCAGGTGTAACAGGATGAGTTTCCAAAGGTATTAAGAGACATCACAGTCAATAAACTACCTGCATTGTGACTTCTCCCCTCAAAATGAACTTTCAAATACTCCATAATTCATGTTGATCCAAATAACAACTTTTTACACATATGGCATCTTCGCATGTGGTTTGACTCCAAGACCAGGTTTAAGCAAATGTGTATTAGAAGAAATGCAGTAAAGTTTGAAGTAGGGCTACAAAAGGACGTTTCTCTTTTAGCTTGCCCAGAGTTGAAAACAGAAAGGTAGCCAGTGACACAAAGCCAGAATTTCCCTGCATCAACAGATAAATTCCATCTAATTTATGGAGTGTACTTCAGTATTTGGTAGCTGACTCTTGAGCCCAACAGGAGCACTAGCAGTGCAACTAGAGTTAAGAGCTCTTTATATATCTTTCTTGTGGGCAACACCACATCAAGTATGAGGCTCCAGTCAGGATCTGAAAGTATTTCCAAAAATTAGCCAGAATTGAAAAAAAGTGTCATTATTTTGAAAGATTTTTTGAATCCCTTCCATAGCAGCCAAGATAGGACCAGATTTTTCAGAAGAGTTTACATGCTCTTTAATGTAACCAAGTATCCCCAAAAAACCACCCCACCATTACAAGCACTGAACACCTGAAACTGATGTGCAAGTTTTGGAAGGCTGGTCTTAAGAACAACAATAGCTTGTGCTGTTGTGAGCAGTTCAATGTTGGAAGCAGAATTCTTGTTTTATATGAACTCCATGTTAATGGGGAATTACTTCCCGTTTGTTACAGATTTTAGTACTGAAATTATGTGGCTCTCTTGCCAAATTCGGCAAGAACGTGACTCTAAGTGAAAGGATTTTGAAGAGCTCCAGTTCTAATATAACACTGCAGCATAGCTTGTGACCAGCTTGTACATGTTTGGGGCTACACAGCACTACAAATTGTTGCTTTATCAGATGCAGCTGACCAAAAAAAAAAAAAACCAAAAACCAAACCCAAAAAATAAAAATACTCCCTCTATTCTTCCACTCTAAAAGCATTTAAACTACATTTAAACTACAGCAGTTCTGGGAACCTGGCTGGGTGGAGGGAATTGGCAGAATAACTTGTACTGTGCAAAATATGGAGGGACAGATGTTCAACTGATGGCTTGAACAGATATAATGGTGACACAAGGATGACAGCTCTATGAGATTTCAAGAGGCGATATGTCACTTGTGCAGTAGGCCACTCCGCATCTTCATAAAAAGTACTTTTTATGGGGTGAGACAAGAGAAATCCTGATAAAAGTGACATAAGAATGCTAGCCAGCCATAATCATGAGTTTGATTAAAGATTTGCTGGAAATCACATTAAAGCAGGGCTCAGATTTGCAGATCAGCTCTGTGGTGTTGATTCCCACTTGGCAAGTCTGACTATGCAGCAGTAGAGCCTTTTTCCTTCCAGGTCACCAATTCCTAGTGGTTCTTTTCACCTTGTATTTGCACCCAGGTTGCTAAAGGAGAGGTTTGTTGCTCTTTTGAGTTGTAGAGGACTGTCTGTTGCCTGGTGTTGCTACATAATAGGAGTCTGGGGAACACTCACGTCAGAAAGAGCAATGCCACAATAGTACTGTATTGCTTGTGACAAAAACAGGGATGGAAATCCATATGATCCAAGAGGCAGAAATAGTCTCATCTCCCTTGATGGATGCTCCTCCTTGCTATTAGTTTAAGCTACCTCAGTCCTTGCTGTTTGTATATGACCTTTTGCCACTTCAGCTTGTATTTCCTTTTTAAATGGATTTTTCAGCTCTCGAGTCCCAGGTGTTTCTTTCTTCAGCTGACACTCAGGCTGTGCATCATATAACCCATCATGACTTGGCAAAGGTTTGTTGGGTCACTGGATGAAGACTCTCAGATCCAGGTTTTTGTTATTAAACTTGTCATTCACACAAGTCCTTGGAGATTGCAAGAGCATGAAAATTAAATCTAGAGATTGAATCATCCTGGTTTTTTTCTCCCCCCCTTAAGCACACACGTGGTCTTGTCATCTGGTCATTTTTGTCATTGCTAGTGACTGTTCTCAGAAAGTACTGGACAAAACCAAAGCTCTCACTCTTGCAATGAGCTCATATCAAATATGAGCTTCCTAAATTATGACAATTTAATATGTTCACTACACTGCTATTGAGAAGGTTTAGATAGCATTTATAATCAGTGCAATTGAAAAAGTAAAGTTAAAAGTTCAGTTACTGTCAAATTTAATTAAAAGTTCAAAGTTAAAATACTCAAAAGAAGATAGTTTATTTTTATTTGTCCTGGAATAACATCAAAAAGTTACTTATTTCATGTTCCACTGATAGTAAACTCAGATTCCTAAAAATTTAGGCCAGTAATTCAGACCACAGAAGGAGGATTTCAACAGTCTGGACTATCTGAAAACATTTGCACCCTGCCTGGAGGGTAAGGTAAAACTGGTACAGGGCCCCTGGCCTGTAGATCTCAATCCTTAGCTCCGCGACAGTCGGTGATTAGGAAGCACAACATTTACAGAGCCCCTAGAGATCCAGAACAATGCACATACCCTCGGCAGCTATGGAAAAAAATGACACCGTTCCTCTGAAGGGCAAAGTTCATTTCTACTGTGCACTGAGAACAAAAGCCCAAATCCATGAAAACTTTTGCTTCACTAGTTGCATTCTTCAGCAATCTCATTTCTGAAAAAGTAAGCACAGCAGAACTAAGAAAGATCAAGAAATCCATACAATCCATCTTGCTCATGAGAAAGAGCCTTCCAAGAGGGCTGCACAGCATGTTGTGCTATGATGATCCAGAAGATATTTTGAGAGTAACTACATAAAACTATGGGCAAAAGTTTAGTACCTCTGCTGCAGGCATGCAGTGCCTGAGAAGGAAGAAGATACTGGTGACATTTATATGATAACAAACAGCAAAGATTTTCAGGCATGATGAATAATCCACCTGCATATTTTTCTATTGTCTCATCCAAGATTTCTTGGAGCACTTGATCTTCACTTGAAAACCTACTTCAAGCTGTGCAATCTTACCTAGAATAAATGAGAAAATTAACTGAGAAAAGAAATCTGTGTCACTTAGCTCGATTCCCTAGGAAACAAACAGCAAAGGCCAGGATTTTGGAGGGGGAGGTCACAGTCAATGGGTTAAGGAATATTGCCAGCATTCCTGGACAGTCTGACTGGCTGAATGTCAAAGTATGCACAGTGTGTCCAGTTAAAAAACAAACAATAAAAACAAACAAAAAAGACGCACCGAGTGGGGAACTTCACAATCCAGTGATAGATCTGACTGCCCCACATATGGGCATCAGGTGTCAAGAAATATCTAGCTTAAAATATAGCTAGTTTCCTCTTATATTTCCTGGCCAGTATTTCTGTCAGTCTCAACAAATGCGACAAACATCATCTTATGTTGAGGAACAGCTACATCAAACCAGGCCTGATGGCAAATGCCATTTTGTCTCGAGTGAAGCAATCAATCTGACATTTTATGTCAAGACTAAACATTCATGCAAAGTTAAAGAGGAAATACTTGAAGGAGTTTGATTTGACAAGCAAGACAAGGAGTTTCAAAGACATTTGCTACACAGCCTTATATGGCAGAAACCAACTCTTCCAACATACATTAAATTTGGTCTTGTCTCCACACAGGAATTACCCCCTGAAAATGGATTTACCAGGAGAATTATACACATCAGTCCCTTCAATCTGGTATCCTTCTGCTACCTTGGGGTCTCCTCTACTACTTTGAGGGATGGATTAGCTCTTAGCCTCTCCCACTGCTTCCAACATTTTGCTGAACCATGGCACTGGAAAAAAGAAATCCAGCTTTCTGGTAGGTGGTATAGACTTAAATGTGTCACATCTGCTTTGAAGAAATAATAGTTTTATATCATAATAAAACCTGGCAAACCTAAGACACCCACCCTGGTCACCCCAGGAACCCTTTCCAGACCATTGGAGAAGAGAGGAAGCTCTGTGGATGATGTGGTGTGGGGCTGGGCTAGCCCACCTTCCACAGCTATCCATCCATCTCCTGTTGAGAGCATGGGGCAAGGCGACAGCAGGCAAAGGACCCTCAGAGAAATTCCTCACACGAGAGGCATAAACGTGGCTCCACTTTTGACCTTCTGCAACTAGAAGCTTGATCCTAAAGTTTAGACCAGCCCATGGTACTGATGCTGACACAGCAATAAAGATTCTGCATACCATGTGGCTAGCCCATTGCTATTCTCTCTCCTGGCATGTGTCCACTCTTACATAAAAACTATAATTTAGGGAGTAATAAATGAGTCGTATGACTGTAAAGCTGTATTTACTTGCATATTTTACACACTGCCCCATCAGTGCTGGTATCCTAAAGAAACCAAGAGCTTAAACACAGGAAACATTGCACAAAGCATCAAGGTCATTTTAGTAGCAAGTTCCTTTTCCAGGCTGGGTTATAGGAGAAAGGTAGTCCCACAGGAGACGTGAACATACATACAGAATAAATCCTTGATGCTTCATGAAGGAGCTTGGCCAGGATACAGCTACAGCTAATAGCTGTAAATAGTAAAGTTAGTAGAAAAAAAAAAAATCTCATGCACAAAATAAACACTCAGTTTACAAGCTGAACTTAAAGTTGCTTCTGACAACCAAACCACATTGCTTTTTCCATGCACCAAGTAGCTAGATGAACAGTTAAGTAACAAAGTTAGCGTGAAAAGACAAAAAAACTAAATAACTTCGTATCAGAATTATGCCATTGGAAAGGTATCTCAAACCTCTCATCCAGCTGTACACCCAGCTATGAGGCACTGAAAACTCTCTGCATGCCTATATGCCCTTAAAAACCTCTACCATCTTACAGCAAGAAAGGCTAGAGGAGCTTTTGTAGGGATATCTTTAGGTGGTTACGATTGTCCCTTCTCTCAAACAGGTAAATGAGCACTGAGTAGAAGGCCTGACTGTGCACACTGATAGAAATTGTATCAAAAAATAAAGATTTTCTTGTGACATCTGAGGTGTGGGGGAACAAACAAACAAAAAGCTCAGGCAGAGGACGTGTTTGTGCTCCTCACCATCTTGGAAGTACTGGAAGTTAGCCCAGTCAGGGCACTTGAACCCCTGGGAAGGACTGGAATACGAGCGCCTCGTACTCTAACTCCCATAAGGAGTAGTGGCATCATGCGGAATGAAAATATTTAGGTTTTTAATGAAATATTATTGTGCTCACAGGAAGCAGGAGCTCAAGCAAAAACAAAAAAATATGTTTCATTAAAACAGCCCAATTTGCTATTGAGGAAACAGTTTAAATTAGGCTTTTTACCAGCCACAATAGAACATCATTTCTGCATATATTATACACATAACACCTCCCCAAGGAAAATAAATATCCTAAGTCTTTTCCTCATATGAAATATTTCCTGTGGCTTGGTATCTCAAGAAAACTGTTCTTCCTCTTTTTTGCATTGCAGAACATTTAAAGCAACTGAGATTTGGCCCTCAAACTCTGAGAAATCAAAAACATACACAGCAGATGCAATTTTGTCTTGCAGCAGAAATAAATATTAGACTTACTGTAGGAATGTCCCCATAGACAACTTTTCTAGAAATAAATTTCCACTAGAATCCATTTAGTAGTGCAACAGATGCTTTGAATTTGTGTCTGCTTGCCTCAAAAATATAAGACAACAGCCGTATTCCGCTATCACCCCTATTCTCACATCAATTTATAAACTGTTGAATGAAATTAGGAATTAGGAATAGAATCGATCTTTCGGAACATATGGAAGAGTTTGGCCTGCCCTACTTTGTTTCTGTCACTAAGACACAACCATTACTGTTAAGGAATACATAATACAGCTATTTGAATCCAAAGGCTTTTGGATCCAAAGAGTATTTATTTGACACCAATCTGTCTTTCCAACTCTTGACAGATACCACATAGGCAGACATCAAAGATGATGATAATCGTAGGAGATCAAATAGATGATTTAACTTCATCAAATATTTGATGAAGTTTTTACCAAGTGATCTACTGGCAGCAAAAACACTACATCCCTTCAATGTTTGAGGGGATTTAGCTCAAGGGGCATAAACTAGAGCTGTCCTTTATGTGCCACCTTGAGATTAATGTTCAGCATCTCTAATCATTCCCTATGTTATTTGAAACATGGACAAAACTAAGGCCTCTCAAACAAACTTTGTCTGTAATCCTGGGTAGCAAACATTGTAGAAGTTGATGTGCATATGGAATATATGTAAAACTCCATATTTTCCCATTTCATTAAAAAAATCCAAATGAAAGTAGTAGTATTCTCTGTTTTTTGGGTTATCTGTCAAAGAGAAATGTCTCTGAATGTCACCAGCTGTTTTATTTCCTAATTAGGAGATTGGTTGTTATTGGTACTTGCAGAAAACTATATTTTACTGATAACTACAGAGTAAATATTTACGCCTAGTAGCTACAGCTAAAGAGAAATATTTCAGAAATAGCTTTAATCAGTTGCTACTCTACCTGCTAGAAGCGTAACTGCTTAAAGTATCATGAACACTAAACAGAATCTGCAATGAGACCTAGGGAGTCCTCATGCTTTCTTTGTCCTGAGACACAAAGGAAGAGTCTAGCTCAGATTTTAGTGTGTTTTTTTCCCTCAAATATCACAACTGCGCTGAAATAAAAATGCCATCAGTGCAAGCAGGATGACTGCTCTCTGTATTACCTTGTGTGTGTTTATTTTGCTCTGCAGATGAGTTTGTTTCAGCTGGGCTGCTCTGTGAATATAATTTGTTAGCGAACGTCTGCTAGGAATTTCACGCAAACAATGTCTTATGCAAGTATTGCAGTATGCGGATGAGAAACAATATTTACATTTACAAAATGTGTACTTGAAAACCAAGTATGGATGCCAGATACTTATCCCAGGTTAACTTGATGCATGCTAGTGATTTGAGCCCTCAGGACCACTAAGGTGTGTGTAAATGAAGTGACTCACGTGTGACCTTTCAGAAAATAGCATGAGTTTACATTGATTTTATTTGAGAAAAACTACTCAGTAACACCATTTTAAACACAGATTTAGGTCTCAGCAAAATATGCTAAAACACTTAACTGCACAAGGGTGAAATCTGACTCGGAGACTCCATGAGATAAGAAAAAGCTAACACAGCATGATTCACTCATAATCATGAAGCTGCTTACAATTAAATAGCAAAATATAAGTATTATTTACTATGTCATGGAGCAAACGCATAGATCTTATTTTTCATTAAAAAAAAGAATGAAGCAAATTCAACAGAAATCCACCAACTTACATGGATTGTTCAAAGCATGAGTGAAAGCACATACTTGGAAGATTTCTAAAATTAAGGCCTGAGTGGAAAAATAGAAATCTTTACAGTAACTCTGAAGTTCTTCTATGGAGAAGTTATATTTTTCCTCAGCAGATCTTTGCACACTGAGATCATGTTTGTGCCTGAAACTTTACATGCCCATCAGCTCTGCTTTCTGATGTACTAAAGATATAGAGAAATAGAGAATATGAATGGGGATTAGTTATGTTTGAGAGACCTGTTGTTACCATTGTATGCTCCCCATCAGCCATGATATAATTCCATGCAATAAGTCTACAGACCAAAGTGATCTTGAAAGGCAGCGTGCTTTAGAGACAGTTCTTGATCCAACATTTGCGGAACAAGGTCACTGCATTCCGGTAAAACTTTTCCAATTTTATTGGTCATTACACATGTAGTGCAGATGTTTAAATGTCCTAATGGATTAATGCTGTTGGAAAAGCAGCTTATGCTCCTCACCATACATCTGTAAGCACAGAAACTTAATGTAAATACAGGCTGTTTTATGCTGGAGACATTGCTAATATGAGATATTAAGAGAAATTTATGTGTTTCCCTTCCTTATCACACACAAAAAAAGACTTTGAAAAAGCTGTGCTGCACACATATACACAGAGGTAGTTTTCTGTATTTGGGTAAGGAACTACAAAATCAAGTAGAAAGCTAGAATCCAGATTCCTATGCAGAAAAGC